GGAGGATCTTTCTCTTTTTTTCTTTCTCTTTGTAAATCTGACTTTCCAATAAAAATAAATAAATCTTTAAAAAAAAATGTCAGTGTTGTAAGCAGTGGATTAGCCCACTGCACCACAATACAGGCTCCCATCCCAATGTTCTGACAGCTCCTTCCTCCCTTGTACTCTTGTACTCTTCCCTTGTACTCACTCTGGGGAGTGAACCAACACATGCAAGATCGCTGTCCCCCCACTGTAACCCTGCCATTGCTCTCCGTGTATGCTGAATTACCTAACTGAAAGGAAATCCCAGGCAGAATCCCAGACTGCATTTGAAATAGGAATCAATTTCAAGGAAAATAAACCCCACTAACCTTGATTCCCTAAAAGAGAAATGTTAATAAATACATTTTATTTATTATCACATTTAAATCTTCCATGTGCAGGTTCATTCTCCAAATGCTTGCAATAACTGGGTGTGGGCCAAGCACCAGCTATTGCAACCCTAACCCTGACCCCAACCCTATCCCTATCCTGGGACCTAGGGTTCAGTCTAGGTCTCCCATGTGGGTGGCAGGGATCCAAGTATTTGAGCCATCACTGACAGCTGCCTTCCAGGATGTACGTTAGCAGGAATCTGGGAGTGGAAGCATAGCCGGAACTTGAGCCTGGGCATTCCGACGTGGTATACAGGTGTCTTAGGCCTCATCCCTACCGCTGTCTGCGTGCTCAGCGCCCTCCGCAACCCTCCACAGTGGGCATGACATCTTGCTATAGACCAGGAGCTGTCTTTGTGCTAGGGACCCCCTTGATTGTTGGGGGGAACATGGGGACCCCTTTCCCTAGAATAAAATACCGAAATACATAAGGTAAATACTGAAATACATATGTATACATACATATACAGGACTTCAAAAGGAAACAAGATTATGATAATAGTCTACGACCGAGGGTGTGACGTAGCAGCGTTATGCTTCTTCACCAGTGCACCAAGTCTCAAGGCTTCGCTGTGGGTCAGACGCTGTTGTCGTCCCCAAGTGTGAAGGACAGAGCTAACGCTAATGTGATTTCTACCTGCGACAGAGTCACAGGTGCTGGAGACACCCCGTGGTTGGAGGCCCACACTCAAAATGGAAGGGACATTTCAGTGAGGGGCTAACGGAAGTGAAGCTGCCAGTTTTTCTCTAGCCATAATTCAAGGATCTCCTGACGTTCACCAGCAGGACCGTTGTGTCTGGCCTGTCTTCTGTCCTCCGCCAGTCCTGCCCCCTCTGTGACCCTGTGGTGCCTGATACAGAGCCTGGAACATGACGTGGACCTGATGTACCTTGCAGGTCTCCTGGAAATGATAACAAAACTTCCCTGAAGCACAGAGAGGCCTCAGCTGAGGGGGAGCAGGTCTGGGCCAAGGGTGCAGGGCTCCGAGGAGACCTCCAGGCTCAGCCCCCCACTAGGCACTGGGTCTTTCTGCTATCCACACAAACTGCAGCCTGGCCTTGGGCTACTGGCAGCGTGCTCTTGCCTTCTTCCGCCTCCCTTGGGCATGGCCGTAGGCCCCCCAGCCCCAGCCTGGGATTGCAGCTGTTCTGGTTGACAAATGGGCCGCTGGCTTCCTGTACTGGGGCTGGAGCAGCGGGGCAGGCAAAGGAAGGGCTATAATTAGCAGGAGTGGCCGGGGTTGCAGGCTGGCACTGACAGATCATCTTATACTCAGATGGGTAAACTGACGTCATCGGAGATGTAAGTGCTGTTTGGAAATTATGAACTTCTTGGAGAGCTTTTTGCCGGCCTCTCCCCCTAGCTCCGTGCCCCTGGGGACACTTGGGCAAGGAGCACAGATGGCCCTGTGCTGGGTGGGGGACCCCCCCCATCCAGGCTGTTGGCAGGTCTGGGGCTGCAGCATCTTCAGCTGCAGCAAAACCGGGGCCACAGTGGCGGTGGCGTGGGGAGGCCCAGGCTTACATTGTCATGGGAGTCTTTCCCATGGTTTTTGCAGTCTGGAAATGTCACAGGCTAATGGGAATGCTTTTTAACGGGGGAGTTAGATCAGAGCAGGGGAAGTTATGTGTCCTGCCAGGAAGGCTGGCTGAGTGTTCCCGGGGCTCACTGAAAGTCAAAGAAAGTCAAAGAAGCTACTGGCTGCCTTTCTGGAGCGGACTGGGGTCAGCTGCAGTCAGAACTGGGGCCAGGGACAGCCAAGTGTGGGAGGATGCCTTCCAACACAGTGACTGCAACCCCAAGCGCAGCTGTGTGCAGAATGGAGGGTCTGGGTCCGCCTGGGGGCAGGGAGCATGGTGCCAGCTTGTCAGCCCCGTGACCCCATCTTTCCAGAGAAATTTTTTTTTTTTTTTGCAACAGGAACTAGAACTGTTCAAATTGCATAGAATCAAGCCTGTAAATACTAACCAGTAGTGGTGGCTTCAGTATTGAGGTGAGAATTCATCTTTTCCTTAGGGTGGAAGATAAAGGAAGATAGGCTTGGCCAAGCTGTCCCTGAACCTGGGCTCCTGCTTGATAACAGTCCTCAGCTGCAGGGCAGGAACCCAGGGCTCTGGGTTCTGGGTTCAGGTCATGGGTCAATGAATGGTTCCTTACAGGTGGCAATTAAAAAGGCAGGATGGGGAGGGGATTTGGCTTTTAAAAGGCTCCTTGAGGTGGCACTGTGGTGTAGCAGGTTGGCTGTCACTTGCAATGCCAGCATCCCATGTGGGTGCTAGTTTTTGTCTTAGCTGCTTCACTTCCCGTTCAGCTCCTTGTTAATGTGCTTAGGAACCACAGCAGAAGATGGACTAAGTGCCTGGGCCCTTGCCACCCACATGGCAGACCCCGCTGAGGCTCCTGGCTCCTGGCTCCTGGCTTGACTCAGCCTTGGTCTTCCCAGCCCCTAGGGGAATGAAGCATCGGAAGGAAGATCTCTATCTCTCCTCTGTCTGTAACTTTGCCTTTCAAATAAATAAATACATCTTGAAAGAAAAATGTCTCCTCAGCTGTTGTTCTCCTTGCTGGGGGCTAAGCTGGCCTTGAATGATGATCTCAGCGGCTTCTGGGCTTGGGAGCATGAGAGAGCTGGATGGTTTCTGCTTAATCTTTATCAAGGGTGGGTTTTTCCTGTGGGCACTGTTTTCCTGTAGAGGGATGGATGTGTGTACATGTGTGTTCCTGCATTATACAACTTAAAATTTACCTAAGTGGGTGATTTTCATGACATCACTGCACCCTGGTTTCCCTGCTGTGACCAGGTTGTCAGTAAGTGGCTGGTGAAGAAGTCCATTCATGCCTTCAGCCCCCAGCTGATGGGTGCGGGAAAAACATCTCTTCTAGACTTGGGGGCGGTGGGTCTCAGGGAGCTGGACCCAAGATGCTGTGTTGTGGCAGTCTGTTTGCCAGGGTGGGACTTCGGGCCTCCCTGTCCCTCGTCCAAGCTTGGGGCAACTCAAGCACTTCACTTTATTCAGGACGGTCTTGGCGCTGTCGCCGGAAGGCGCCCTGGGCTCGTGTGGGGATGTGATATGATGATCTGGGAGGAGGCTGGTGTAGGCCTGGGCATGGCTGGAGGGGTGGTTTGGGTCGAGTTCAGGATGCCTACGCTGGGGCAGGTGCTATGTGTGGTGTGTGCCCCACCAGCATCCTGTCTGTATTGTCCCTCACTTCCTTTGCCTGGACCTTGGCTGCCAGCGTCACAGCTTCCGGTTTCTCTCACAGGTTTCGGGTCTCTGCCTTCCGGAGTAAGTCTGGATCCTTGGACAGGCTGGAGCCTGGGTAGCCAGCTTCTGACTCAGATGCAGGGGCTCCACGGGAAAGCCCAGCTCTCAGTCATCCAGCGGATGCAGTATCTAATGCTTGATTGCACTTCCGCTACATCAGGACGGTCAAGGGGTGTCCACGATGGCAGAAAGTCCCTCTTCTCCTACCCCAGCATGGGCTTGGGCATATTAAATCTGATGAAACACCAAGGCAGGAAATAAAACAGAGAAAGGGGAATCAGGGTTTTCCACCTGTAAACAAGGTGATCTCCCAGTTGCTTCCAGGAGCAGGTAGCACTGGGCAAAGGCAGGAAGAAGTAGCAAGTGTGGAAGTCAGGAGAACATCCAGCTGTGGGAGTGGTCTGTGCAAAGGTCCTGGGGTAGGCATGCTTGGCCTGTAGGATGATAATAAAGAAGCTAGCTTTTCCTGACTGGGGACTTGCAGTGTGTTCTGGTAGCAGGGTTCACAGAGTGCTACTTAAAAATCCCCTTGAAATTCCTTCTGCACCAGTCATTGGCGTTCCTTGTGGTCAGCCAGAAGGTAAATTCCGTGTTGATGACGTAGCCTGAGAGGTCCCCACACCCCCACTTCCCTAGCCGTTCCAGGCTTTCCTCTGGGTGCCATGCCTGCTCAGCATGTATTCTACAGCCCCGTGCCATCAGCTTCACCGCCTCTCTGCCTTTGTTTTAGTGCTACAGCCTTGCAGAAAGCAGAGGAGAGAGTACCACAGAATGGACATCTTCATGCCCATTGTTCAGATGGGAACACAGACCTGCTGAGTCTGAGGCCCAGCGTTAGCCAGGGGCAGAGCTGAGACCTCCAACTGGCACTGTGTCCTCCCAGAAGAAGATGACTTGCTGGGACTGCCGTCATGTGAAATCCCACAGACAGAGTGGCATAAAGAGCAGATGCTCCTCATAGTTCTGGAGTTTGGATGTTCAAGCGCAGGGTCAGTTCCTGCCTCTCTCCGTGCATGTGGCCGACTCCTCTGAGCATCTTCACCTGGCTTTTATTCTGGGAGTGTCTGTGTTGTGACATCTTAAGGCACCCCAATGGCTGCCTTGTAGTTTCATCACTTTTAAGGCCCAGTCCTTGCTCGGGTTCTAGGGGCTGGGATGGCAGCAGGAATTGAAGGGATGCCACCCCCCAAACTCTGTGATCACTAAAGGGAACTGTCCAGCCACAGGCATAAGCTCCCCTCCCCCGGAACTCATGGCCAGAAGATCTGCTGGCCAAGTGTGCCTACTCTCTCACTCCCTGTTTCCTTGCCACAACAGCTGATCGGGGGTCTGGTTCTGTCCGTGGGCATCTATGCAGAGGTAGAACGGCAGAAATACAAGACGCTGGAGAGTGCCTTCCTGGCTCCAGCCATCATTCTCATCCTGTTGGGGGTTGTCATGTTCATCGTGTCCTTCATTGGTGTCCTGGCCTCCCTACGAGACAACCTGTACCTCCTCCAGGCGGTAAGTCAGCCCCTCCTGCCTGCCCCTGATTGGAGTCCCCAGGAAGCCAGGGAACCCAGTCATGGGCCCTTGGACAGCTTGGGTCCTGGAATCCCTTCCTCACTTGTGCCAGCATCCACAGAGCGCTTTCTAGAGCACTTAGCCCAGGAGTGCCGGACCACCTGCTCTGGGCACACATGCTGATCTGACTCCTGTTTTTTGACCTACACCCTGTTCATTGGGGCCCTCCCCTTGGATGGAGAAACCACATGCAAATGAGAGTGAGCAGAACCTGAAGGGAGTGGTGGCAGCAAGTCATCAGTCCCTGTGGCCTGGAATGGTTCATTCAACATCCCACCCAGCTGTCAGAGCAGACACACATGCTGAGTCTTCACAGCTCTTGATCCCATAAGGTCTGTCCTGGTAACTCCAACGAGGCCCCTGGGGTGCTGGTGGCCATCCTAGTATCAGGAAATAGTGACCTCCGGCTGTGGCTGGTGGGGGTGGGGTCCCCAAAGCTGGGGCCACATTGTGGGCAGGCTTCTTCACTCTGTGTGCATACTGTCTTCCAGTTCATGTACATCCTCGGGATCTGCCTTATAATGGAGCTCATTGGTGGTGTGATGGCCCTGATCTTCCGGAACCAGGTGGGTCTGGGGACCGAGTCACGGGCCATGGGAGATGGTGCTGTTGCAAGAGGGCAAGGAGAGTGCTGGCCCCACGAGCCAGAGCCACACATGGCCACGGGGGAGGGCATGGGGGCAGTCACCCGGGGATGATCTTGTGGGTCCTTGCAGGTCGAGCTTTAGGAGTGTGGGACTTTTTCTGCAGGCAGTTGGCCAGAGCCTCTAGGGAGTTTTTGGTCGGATGTGCCAGCATCCAGCTGTTTCGCTCTGGCTGCTGAGTGGCAAGTGGACAGGAGGCACATGTGTTTGGGAGGGGGGTATGCTGGCAGACTCTGCTGCTCTGGATGTGGGAGTGAGGGTGGGAAGGACACTTGTGTCCCAGCCAAGGCAGGGTTTGCCTTGTCAGGACGCTTAGAGCTGGGAAGGTTTCCATCTCCTTCCCTGCAGGCGAGGGGACCTGGGCCAAGGCTCTTGGTCTCTCCCATCCTCCAGGGTCACAGCACCTGGCTCACGGTGTTTGGGTTGCAAACTGGGGGAAAGCATGAGTAGGATGGCCCCAGTATGGGGTTGGCCTGTGGCAGACAGTCACCAGCTTCCAGTTCCCAAGGCCCCAAGAGAAGCCAGCCCGTACCCTGTCTTCTCCCATAGCATTCTCTTGACTTCATCGTGCTTCAGTGTAAGCAGAGGGCATGACCCACAGGGCATGTTTTCAGAGTTTAGGCCTGGCTGTCTCCAGGCCTGCCTCTACCCCAGACAGGGTGGCTCCCAGTGCCCCTGGGCAGTCACCTTTGGGATGGGCATCAGGGCCACAGCCAGATGATCTCTTGTGTCCGAAGTTGAGCCCAAAGCTGCTGTGGTGGTCCCCATGCTGAGCTGAGCAGAGCCCAGCCCTTACACAGCCCACCTACAACCCTGACCAATCCTCTACGCATCTGGCTGGCCTTCCAGTCCAGGGCAGGATAGATAGAGGCTGTACCTGCTCTGCCTGGGCCCTCTATGGCCGGCCTCTCTACTTTCCTACAACCCAGGGGTTCTTCCTGTTTCATGAGACCCGGGAAAGGGCCAATGTCTGTCACATCAGGAGAGTCACTGAGGGACACGGAGGTTAAGAGTCCTCCAAGAACACACAAGGCAGAGACGGCCCTGGGAGGCAACCCCAGCCAGTCGTGCTACCTGCTCCTGCCCTCTGCCCTGAGTGGGCAGGTACTGGCCAGGGGCTCAGTTTCAGCAGCATGGTGGAGGAGGGAAACATGTTTGTTATATTTGCCAGGGAGAAAGATTTCCTGTGCTGCCAGCCAGGACTCCCAGCCAGCTCTGAGCTTTGTAGGGGTCACGGGTGAGGGTTTGCCTGGCTGGAGCCCAGGTCCAGGCCATGGTCAGCAGCGTCCCTGGCCCCAGGAAACAATTGCGTCCTAAGTGCACTGCGGCTCTGGTCTCAGGGATCATTGTGCAGAGGCTAGCTGCTCAGTCACTGGCCATTGCCCTGGGGGTCACTCAGGGCCATGACATCATCCCCTTCTCTCAAGGGAGGGAGCTCAACCGAGACAAAGGCATCCGCTGATGAGGTCTCCAAGAGTCCCTCTGAACACGTGGCTCAGAGTGCTGGAGAGCCTGGGGCAAGGGTGAGAGCCTCCACTTAGCCCCAGTCCAGTGGATGCCACAGCCCATGGCATGTGTTCCGTCTTCTTGGATGGTGTCCCGTTGGGGGAAGGTGCCAGCGTGCAGCCCAGGAAGGGCCCTCATGGTCAAGGACTCTAAACTGTTTGGAAGCTTAGGGTGGGGCATAATTTAATGAACTTAAAACCAGGATACAAAACTATAAATTATTTATTTCATTTGCAAAGCAGCAAGATAGACAGATCACCTACTTGTTTGCTCCTCCACTACCTCCTGGTGCCAGGGCTGGGCCAGGCGAAGCCGGAAGTCAGATACTCCACCCAGGTCTCCCATGTGGGTGGCAGGGGCCCACGTCGTTGAGCCATCACCTGCTGCCTCCGAGGGTATGCGTTCTTAGGAAACTGGAATGGAAGTGCAGCCAGAACTTGAACCCAGGCACCCTGATATAGGGTGTTAGTGCTCCAAGTGGTTCGTATTTACCATGTCAAACACTACCCCAGATACAGAGTCACAAATGCAGATCTTCACAGTGAGAAAAAGATTTGGAAAGATGGGAAAAAATCAACACTGACACTGTCACAACTTACTTCCCCTGAAGGGTAGGACCTGGGTGATACTTATTTTCTCCTTTACATCATTCCTCTAACTCCCCAAATTCCTTCTTGCTTAATAGTCAAAGGGAAAATAATTCATAAAGAAAAACAAGCATCCCTTCCAATGTGATGTCATTGCATGTCAGAGCATAGACCGGGAGCTGCTTCTGTGGATGGTGATAAGAAGGGACTGTGTAAGGTGGAAAAAAGAGGGGAAGAAAGCTGGCATTGTGGCATAGAAAGTAAAGCTCTCGCCTGTTTAAGTTCTGGCCGCCTCATTTCCAATTCAGTTGCCTACTAATGTGCTTGGGAAGGCAGCACAAGATGGCCTAAGTACTTGGGCCCTGCAACCATCTGGGGAGTGAACCAGCCTGCAACGCCCTCACCCCCCCGCCCCGCCCAATCCAGGAAGACGCAGGCGCAGACAGCTTCTTCACAGCCTCCATCCTTCCCTCCTTCGGGCTCCCACGGCTCTCTTTGATCCTGCTTGCCAGGACTGGGGCAGATGTCAGTGTCGCGGGCAATGAGGACAAGACCCCAACTTCTAGAGGGACTGGGCAAAGCCCAGAGATGACATTTTGAAGGAAGACAGCCCTGGGTCAGCTGACTACTTCGACCCCAAGCTCTGGGAACCTGGCAGGCATTGAGTGCAGCCGGCTGGCTTTGGGGCTGGGAAACTAATGTAAAAGTTTCTGGTTGCATTCAGGACCCCAGGACGCCGCCATCCCCAGGGGACCAATGCCCTGGGCCATCAGCTGGTCCCTCCACTCCTTCTCTGATCTGTGGTCCCTGTGGAATCCCCATTCATTCAAAATGCAGGGGATGTGGGGGGGTGGTGGTGGTTTGACATAGTGGCCTCAGCTATTTTTAGAATTGGATGTCACAGAAAAACCAGAAAGGCTAGCTCTTCCAGCAGGTGGGTGGGCTCATACAGCACACTCAGACTGTATGTCCATCCATCTGTGGTTTTGATGCTTGCTTGCTTCCTTCCGGCCTGACATTCTTTATACGCACCCAGTGAAAGGTGCTTCTCTCTCCGCCTCACTGGAGCTGCCCCTGCTGGTGTGACCTGGGTCTAACCTGACACTCTGAGTGGCACAGGGTGTGTTTGGCTCCTGGGAGTGGCAGAGGGCGCCAGGGTCTTTTCTCTTCCTTGCTGCCTTCTCATTGTGAATGTGTTCCTAGTGGCTCTGGGTCTCTCTGGATGTTACTGGCGCTTTGTACAGCTATGCAAGCATTACAGTGGGCAGCCTGTACCACCTGTAGCTGCTTCTCCACGGCTGTCCCAGTACAGGAAGAATTCAGTGTCCTGCTATCTCCCCAGCTCTCTCTCTCTCCCTCTCTCTCTCTCTCTCTCTCTCTCTCACACACACACACACACACACACACATACACACACTCTTACCAAACCCAGCAGGTCCCAGTGAACTTCCTGATGGGAACTAGGGCTGCCCTGGGCTGTTCATCCCCCTGCCTTGCTAAGAGGTGGATGGAAGGCCTGGTTTTCACAAAAGTGTTTTCTCAGGTTGGTGCCCTTGGAAAGTGCCCAGGGCCAGGGCTACTTTGAGGATAGAAGCCAGCGCTGTCACCCTAGCAAGGGCAGAACTCCTCAGGCCATCAGTATCCTTTCTGCCACCCTTTCTCTCCCTTCTCTGGACCTTCTGCCCACCTCTATCCCACCCTGTTACCAGCTCCAGGGGATTCCCCAGAGCAGAGGGTCCCAATGGTTGGCTGGAGGGGACTGGGTGGCTAGGAGGGATGTGGTAGCTTGGAAGAAGCTGCCCGCCCTGCCCATACCCGCAGGCATGGCCTAAGCCACACCCCTGCCGCTGGTATCACCCCTGCTCCAAGCCCTACCAAGGGTCCTTGCTGTTAGCTGTGAGCTAACAGCCTGCCCCACCCTGGGGAGCAGATGGACTCCACCCTGGTGTCTTGTTTCCTAGCCCCTTGCTGGGGCCAGCTGGCCTGGCCCATCTTCCAGCAGAGCGGGCACCCGGGGTTGGTGATGCAAGGGCCTCTGGGGAGGGCAGACTGCCTCTCCTCGCAGCATCTCAACAGACCTGGGAGGGGGCGCAGACTGGTGCATTCAAAGACTGTCCAGAGCCTGAATCTGCTTTCTGATACTCGACAAGGGTTTGCTGGCTCCATTCCCTAGGCTTTGTGCACCGTGTGTCCCCAGGGGTCAGCAACCTCTACGTTCCTCTTGTCCTGATAGAGCAAGACGGTTCCCACCTAATCCCTCAGCTCTTGTCTTGGCACCTTACGGTGGGATGGATGGTGGGATGGATGGGCACTCTGCTGCCAGCAGCTCTGCTGTGGTGTGCGAGGGGTCCAGCATGGTGGCCCCAGGGTTTCTGACCTTGATGGCAGCCACTCACCCTCAAAGCTGGACACTGCCATGGAGAGACTTCCAAGCAGGAAACTGAGGCCATGAGAGGGCATGAGCTGGGAGGGGGCCAGAAGCCTAAGACCACCCTCACCATCTCTTCCCTCCTGCCAAGACACCTCCCTCAGGAATTGCTGGCTCCTGTCTGCATAGAATGCCGCTTTGTCCCCAGCCCCTGCTGATGCCCAGGCGTGGGGCTCTGAAAGCAGCCATTGTCACCGTGAGCCTGGAGCCAGCCTCCCCCACCCAGTCCTGCTGTGGGGCCTTTTGTGTTCCCAGATTTTGGCACAATGGCGGGCTGTTGATCCAGAAAGTCCGGCCTGACTGGCAGAGGGCGACCTGCCAGTGCCCTTCCCGGCCAGGACTGTCTCTGGCCTGTGGGCCCCCACACTGCAGCAAGAGACAGGTCAGGAAACCCCAGTTCCCACCATCCTGGCGAGGATCCTGGGATGCCTGCTTCACCTTCCTCATCTGGAAAGCAAGAGATTGGATGATGGAAGAGTACACAGTGGGACCCAGTGCAGGCCTGATGCTGGGCTGTGGGACCAGGACAGCCTCGTCCCAGCTCAGCCGTGGTAGCCACTTCAGAGCTGGGAGCTGAACCCTCCCACGCAGAGCCTGGGTCATGGAAGTCTGAAGGAATCAGTGTAAATGGTCCCTGCTGGGACAGAGCAGAGAGACTTGAGCTGATGGCCCAGGGCCAGGTGGTGTGTGGTTGGAGAGGTCATGGGTGAACAGGCAGGGCACAGCGGCAGTAAGCAGAGGCACTGGGGCCTGGGGCCCATGGCGTTTGGTGCCAGTCTGGACTTCTGGGAGGGCTGAGTTGGGCGCTACAAGTGCATGGCCCTTTCCTTGCTAACTCTGCCCCTCCACAGACCATTGACTTTCTGAATGACAACATCCGCAGAGGAATTGAGAATTACTATGACGATTTGGACTTCAAAAACATCATGGACTTTGTCCAGAAACAGGTGAGCTGGGAGTTCCGGGTCAGGGATGTGCCTCCCATGCCTGCTGCCCCCCACACAGCAACTGGACCCTGCTCAAGACAGGGCTTTGAGGGCTTGGACCCCTCCTCCATCCCCAGAGTGGGTGGCAGGCTGGCTGGGTGTGTTTGAGCTGGCCCACCGGGGCCGGGGGTCTGGAACCCTTTACATCCGTGCCTGGCCCCACATGTCTGCTCTAGTTGCCCCCCTCTCGCGTTGCAGCACGGTAGCTCCAGGCCTCCTGATTGGGTCCCAGACAGGCCCTTTCCACCGGCCAAGGAGCCTCCTTCCTAGAGATGCGAATCTGATCTTGCTTGACCCAAACCTCTGTCATCACAGCAGGTGCAGGCTCTGGGAGGGCCTATCCGCCCAGGGCTGTGCCTGCCAGCTCTGGCTTGGGCGAGCCGACTCCTGCTCCAATGGAGTGAACTGTTTGTTTTGGAACTATTCTGTGGGCTGGCTTGGAATTTGATTTTTTCCCCCCAGGGTGCAGGAGGAGGTAACGGGCTCATTGGATACCTGCTTGGTGCCAGGCCTGTGCTGAGTTCTTCATACACAGCTCCTTACTGTGGGCTCAGCTTAGCCGTGCCAAGCTGCCATCACTTTTCCTGCTTGATCGGGGCAGCTCTGAGGCCCAGAGAAGTCGATCTGCTGCCTGAGATTACATGGCTGGGAATGGCGCTGGGGTCTGGCCACAAAGCCTTTTGAATTGATCCTGGAAGTTGATGACTCCAGAGCACCACAGGGACTTGGGAAGGGTCTGTTGCTTTCTTTTTTATATTTTTTTTTAATTTTAATTTTATGGTACAATTCCATAGGGTTTGTTATCCCCCCCACACACACACACACAAATTCACACCCTCGACTGATTTTTCCCATGCTATTATAATAGTGTAGTCCTTCATAAACAGTCATAAGTCCATCAGTCTGTTATTTAAGTGTGCCCCGACATTGCTGGTACAGACAATGTCAGACAGTGCAGCATCCCATTGTCCAGACATGTCCAACAGTTTCATTAGGAGTCCATCTTTGATTTGGAAGTAGGGATGGGTACCGCATTGTATCTTCACATCTGGATATGATAATCTCTATTATACCATCACTATACATTCCCTTAAACGAGAAACCATGAAACAAAGTCAACAACAAGTATGGAGTTAAAAAATTTACAGCACCATGGAGTCAAAAAGCATGCCTCTGAATAACCAGTGCACGGATGAAGAACACACAAAAGCCTCTTGGGTACCCCTGATCATGGCCCTCCCCCGCCCCCCGTTAGGCTGTCACAGTGGCTTCCGGCCACTCCTAGTGACTTACTTTGGTGCAGAAAGCTTTGCAAGGTCCAGCCTGTGCTGCCCTCTGCTGCCCTCCCAGCAGCACACCCTCCACTATGGTTCGCTCATTTCTGGTCAAATGGACGTCCACACCTCTGCTGAAACACACGCTCCGTTCTATGCAGGCAGGGCCTCTGCACCTGCCAGCTAATTCTTCCTGCTGCCCATCTCTCTCCTGAGATGCCCTCTCCTCAGACAGTAGCCCTGTCCTCCCAACCCCAAATTGCCCTTGCCCACTCCTTCCCCCTGCTTCCCCAGGTCTGGGGCACACAGTGGAGATGTCCACTCTCTGTCCCCTCCACATGAGTAGTGTGTGCCACCTGGTCTCTGGAGTGCTCAGCCAAATGCCTGGCACATAGCAACACTGCAGTGCAGTCACTCACTGCCTCCCCAGGCCCTGGCAGTGGTGCAGAGGAGGACATGAATGTGCCCGTGTCCTCTTGACCATGGGGAGTATGGCTCCTGGAGCCGGGCTAGGAGAAGGCCAGCGTACAGAAGGTCCATGCAGAGACACTGGAGTCTGGGACACAAAAGCCTGGCACCTGCACAGAGATGCAAACACAAAGGCTGGTGTAGGTGTCTGTGGGAAACTGTCCTTCCAGGATGCACTGGTCCCCTCAACGTGTGCACAGAGCTTGCACACCTCTCAGGGTGTGGGGTGTTCACACCTCCTGGCCGCAGCTGTCACCTGATAGGCCAAGGCGTCTCACAGCGCAGAGGGCATCCCCTGTCTCCTGGCAAGAGGCCCCCAGGTCCGGCCTCTGATGGAGGCTTCTTTCCTGCTTCCTTTCTCAGTTCAAGTGCTGTGGTGGTGAGGACTACCGAGACTGGAGCCAAAACCAGTACCATGACTGCAGCGCCCCGGGGCCCCTGGCCTGCGGGGTGCCCTACACCTGCTGCTTCCGGAACACGGTAGTGAGGCCCCATGGGGATGGGCAGGTGGGGTCCACTCTGATGGTCAAACAGCACTGTGGGTGGTAGATAAATGGGGCTGGGGTGGCCAGAGCTCAAGGGTCCTATGAAGGGAGATGCTGGGCCTGTTAGCATCTGCTGAGCTCCTGTCATAGGCCTGCTGTGGGTCCTTTGGCTGTGCAAACTCATTCCATCCAAACAACAGCCACACATCCATTTTACAGAAGAGGAAACTGAATCCCAGAAAGGTTCTGTGAATCTGACCCGGGTTGTCTGGACTGGGTGGGAGTGTCCTGCCCTGGGGTGCCATAACGGTAGAAGGGAGGGGGGCTTTGAGATGGCAGGAGGCTCCATCGTTTTGCCGGGAGCAGAGCTGGTTGCACATAGAGTGTTTCCTGTGGGCCTCAGGTCCTGGTTGTGGTCACCACAGGGCACTTGGAGCAGGATCTGTGAGGTCCATGCCAGCTCAGTCACCTCCGCAGTCATGCGGGTTGCTCCCTGTGCAGTCACCGTTTATGCACGGGTGACTGTCAGCGGGTATGCCTGACAGCCACGTCCGGGAGCTGTTTGGTTTCTGCCCTGGAACTAGGCAGAGAGCTGGGCCATTACTCACACCCTGAGCAGTCATGGAAAGTTTCTCCTCTGACATCTCCACCGATCCGTGCCCACTGCAGTGCAGCTGTGGTGGGAGCCTCGCCCGGGCGTCAGGCCACCCGCGCCCTAAAAAGGCTGGCCTGGAGGGAACTGCTTCTGCACATTTTGGCTGCCATTTTAGGGTAGAAGTCTGGGCAAGCGGGGTGCCGGGGAGGAGTCCAGGGTTCTCAGAGAGACCTGGTGGAGGCAGGGAGGGGGAACTTGAACTTGGCCACCCTGGACGCTGGCACCTGCATGTGTGTCCCTGCTGAAATGTGGAAACGCAGCTTGCATTCATTCACTTGTTAGTTCATTCAACAGACACTGCTTAAGGACCTACTATGTGCCAGGTGCTGGAGGTAAAACAAGCACAAAGGGAAGTCTCTGCCCGTGGAGGGGAAACTGACAGATACACGGAAGAGCTCAGGGAAGATGGTGGGTGGCATGACAGCACGGAGGAGGCAAGGTCACCAGAAGATGGATTCCCAGGGAAACCTGGAGGGAGCAGGGCAGGTGTCTGGAGAAGGGGATTCTTGGCCGATGGACCAGTGAGTGCAAAGGCCCTGGGGTATGTGAAAAGCAGGTCAGAGCCTAGTGTGACTAGAGGAGGAAGGGGAGGCTGGCAGGAAGAACCATAGTGTGCCCTTAAATGACAGGAGCTGTGTCACTTCAAGTGGCAATGGATCTGACTTGGGTTTGACTGGGGTCCCTTGGCTGCTGTGGCAGGGGCAGCGGAGGTGGACATGGGGAGTCAGGTTAGGACTGTTTAGGGTGCAGAGGCTTGGACACCAGCTCCTGCGGAAGGGCGGGGCTGTAGGCAGAGGTGTGCAGGGCCAAGCCAGCCCGGAGCAGCTCACTCGCCTGCAGACTCCACCGAGTCTATAGGGCCTAGCCCAGGGCAGCATGCGGGAGCGCCAGCTGGATGTTGTTCACCATTCCAGCCCCTGGAAAGCAAGGGAGGGCTTCAGCTGTCCTGCCAAGAGGGAGCGTTGGGCCTTGAATGGCCTCCAGATTGTTCTAGATGTCAGGGTTGGGTAAACAGTGAAGTCAGTGCCCTGGATCTAGAGCTCTGCCCCAGGTGCCCTCAGGCTCCAGCCGCTTCCACAGGAGCTGGTCTGAGAGCACCTCCTGCCAGGTCCTGGTGACCAGGCAGCATGGCAGAGTCGGCTGGCCGGACAGTGACCTGTGGCTCCTGAGCACACTCTTGTGATCCATGTGTCTCCCTGTGTGGAGGGGAGGGTGATGTTCATGGATCATCAAGTTCAGGAGACTCAGCCACGCATGCATCATGTACACAGGCCTCTGAACATGTTTCCTGAGGACCTCTGCGTGCCCAGCCTTCACAAGACTGGTACAAAGCCCCCAAAAGACAGAGCAGAAATTGGACCCAGAGGGGCAATGTCAGCGGCCATGCTGGCCACTCCACTATTCCCCTCTTGTTGCCCTGAGTCCCCTAAAGAGTAGCATTCATTCAACACGGGGGTATTGGAGGATGGGGGCAGGGCTGCAGGGGGCCCAGCTGGCCCCAGGCTCTGGCTGTCTTATGGGGCCACTTGAAGAGAAGACCCTGCAAGGCATGGGAGGTGACAGGTAGTGCCACTGCCCCTGATGGGGTTCAGGGCCTGGGCCCAGTTTTTCCTGGGTCTGAATGAGCAAGGCCAGGAGTCCAGAGAGGGACTGTCCTCTCAGGAGGCAATGTCCTGCAGTGCCCTGGGCCGGAGGGGCCAGAGGCTGTGGGGGAGGGAAGCACTTCCAGGAGCCCTGGCCTTGTCCACAGGTAACCACAGGTGGTAGGAGCCAGTGAGCAGGGGCAGCCCTGGCCTGAGCTCTGAGACAGTGCAAACCGCTTCAGCAGGGCAAGGGGGTCCGGAGCTAGAGTGCCCGGGCTGCTGCTGGGGCAGTCCTGCCATTGGCATTTCTTGGAGCAAAGAGTGGTTAAGGTGCAGACTCAAGCCAGTCTGCCTGGATTGCTTCCACTCTATCCATGCTGCACAGGGCAGCTGTCTGTGCTTCTGTCCCTTCTCTGTGAAATGGGTAGATCAGTTGACTCTTTCTGAGGAAGCCTCATGTAAATGCAATCCACATCTCTTCCAGACAGATGTCGTCAATACCATGTGTGGCTACAAAACTATCGACAAGGAGGTAATGCCCGAAATGCTTTTTCCTGGAAACGTTGCTCTCCTGTCCCACCCACAGGGGGATTGGAGGGCTTGCTGGATGTGGTGCTCCTGGCTGCTGGAGATTCTCCACAGTCCTGGCTCTGAAGTGGAGCTAGAGTCCCAGTGTTTTCTAATCCCACCCAGACACAGAAGGGCTTGGGGGCCCAGAATCTGCTCCCCGCTGCCGCAGGCTGGGAAAGGCCGTATGCTAGGCTGTGCCTAGCCCCTCCCAAGGGTCTGTCCCCATGAGGCCACTGCAGCTCCTGCCAGCGCTCTCAGCAGGCTGTGTGCCCAGCCCTGCTCAGCACCTGTCTTGTTTCTGCCCTCAGTTTGCGGATTGCTCCCATGATGCCCTCTGTTAGAGACCCAGGAGTCCTTGGAGGGCGGCAAGGCTCCTCCGTGGGTCTGCTTCATGGACACGCCAGACCTGGTGCAGACAAGCACCTAGGGTGCTGGGGAGGGAGCTAAAAATAATGCTGACCCTTACTGTGTTAGAGCGGTAGAGTTTGCACAGTGGAGTCCCCAGACCAACAAAAGTGGTGTCACCGAAGGTGTTAGCACAGGACTGGGCCCGGGGACCCAGGCTGAGATTCCCACTATAGACCTATGACAGTTCTCAGCCTATTTGAGCCTGTGGTGACTTCATCTACGACCATCCGTGGGCAACATCTTCACTATGATCCCCCAGTGCCATCTGTAGATGGGGCACCTGCCGTAGGCTCTCTGCACACACTAGTGTAAGTCAGACAGAAGGGACGTCCCGGGGACCAGCTTAGAGCTGCCTAAGGCATATGGATGCTGTGACTCCACAGGCCACGTTAGATGTCACAGGAGATAGCGGAGTCCATGCCTAGACAGGATGCATTCGCAAGCTGGTGCGGCCATGGCACCACCAATGTGGGGACCGCCACACCAGGCACAGTGCTGTCGCCACCCAGGTGCTCTTTAAAAACCAATAAGCCATTGCCAACCAGTCTGAGACAAAGCAAGTCCGAATTGACTATCCCTGCTCAGAAATGCCTGGGGCTAAAGCGTTTTGGATTTTGAGTTTTCTAGATGTTGGGACATTTGCACCTGCAGGATGAGCTCTTTGGGGAATGAGGTCCAAGTGCAAATGTGAAATTCGCTCACATTTCCTAGCCACCGGATGTGCGTCACCTGGAGGCGTTTTGTACACAGTTTTAAGTCATTCTGTGTATGCAGCCAAGTTGCATAGTGTAGAATTTTTTCCCCTGCTGTGTCACGGTGGTATGGGTGGGTTTTTCATCTGCATCGGTGCCCAGGTGCCCATCTGAGAGGCAGGAAGTCAGGACTGCCCTGAGCCCTTCGGTCCCACCAACCCCTCCAATGTAGCAAATGTGGGTTCGGCTGCTGCCGTGGCATCTCCGATACTGCCCATCAAGGCATATGGGAAGTGGAGGTCCAGAACCATCCAGGGCTAGGCTGGGCCTTAGGTGAGTGGCTGCGTGGGCACCTGGGTTTCGGCCAGGTGGGTGCCCACCACTGACCGGCTCTCCCCGCACAGCGCTTCACTGTGCAGGACGTCATCTACGTGAGGGGCTGCACCAACGCCGTGCTCATCTGGTTCATGGACAACTACAGCATCATGGCCGGCCTCCTGCTGGGCATCCTGCTCCCCCAGGTGGGCTGGCTCTGGGTGCAGGGAGTGGCGGTGTGGTGATCACAGGGCAAATGCGGAGAAGGCCCAGATGGGCGGAGGGGAGGAGGCCAGTGTGGGATGTGATACTCCTCCGAGTTCTGTCTGTGAGGCGGGCACTGTTAGCATGCCCACTTTACAAGGGAAGAAGCCAAGGCTTAGCAATATTAAAGTGACTCAGTCCTCTAGGGAGCATGTGACAAACACAGCAAGAATCCCAGCATAGAAGGGTGCAGCATGGAGGTGGGGTGGAGGGGGGAGCTCTAGCATTTCCGGGAGTCAGTGGTCAGTGTGGGGTGCTGAGGCTGCTTGGGTTTCTGGGGCTGGGGCCTGGTCAGCCGGCTCTCACCAGCCCAACCCTTCTGTGCAGTTCCTGGGGGTGCTGCTGACGCTGCTCTACATCACCCGCGTGGAGGACATCATCACGGAGTACTCGGTCACCGACGGACTCCTGGGCCCCGGAGCCAAGGCCAACATGGACACAGCCGGCACGGGGTGCTGCCTGTGCTACCCTAGTTAGAGGCCAGGCCCAGGACAACGGCTTCAGCGGGCCAGGCTGAAGAACACCTGCAAGTCCACACAGGGGGAGTGGCTGAGTAGGACCTGGGCCTCGCTGCCCACACGTGGTGTGGATCGAAGTCGAGGCTGTGCACCTGTGTGGGGGCTCCCGAGGCCGCTGCCTCCCCTGGGGTGGAGCCTGAGGCCCTCCCAGGAGGGGAGTGGCCCTCTCCCCACTGCCACCGTCGGGTCTCTGAGCCCTGCTGAGATCCCGGCTGGGCGATGAGGCGGAGAGGGGCCCCCTTCTCCAAGGGCTGAGCTCAGGGTCCATTTCATTCCTGGCAGTGCCTTGACTGTGGTATTTATGCCTCCTTCAGGCAGCTTTTGTAGTGATTTGTAAGCAAGGGGAGAGGGAGCTGTGTGCCCTGTGGGGCAGGAGGGGCCGTCCCCTTTGCTCCCCCCACCAACCCTGGTGCCTTGAGCCCCTCGCAAGGGCTGCAGCTTCGCTCACCCTTATTTTTCTACATGATTTTTGTAACATTTGTATTTTGTACGGTTAACAGGAGTTTCTGACTAATCAAAGCTGAATGCTCCTCCTCCATGACTCCCATTCCAACTCAGTTCATTAATCAAACAATAAAGATAGGAATTTTTTATTTACCTCTCGTCTGTGCTGTTTTGATGGTGAGGGAAATAACTTCAAAAGCCCTTTGTTGGTGCAAGAATTGAGGAAAGACCACACGGGCGAGGCCAAGAAGCAGCTCAGAGCAGAAGGTAGGGATGACAGCCCCGTTTCACTGACTGGGCGACTGAGACCAAGTGACTTAGGGCACGAGGCTCTACCTCTCGGGGCGGGGTGCGACAGGTGGGGACCAAGGCGAGCTGCCCAGAGCAACTGGCTCCCAGCTCCCATCTAAGCAGCTTCTCCTGCCGAGGGTCTAGTGCCAAGCATAGCTTGGTGCTGGCTGCCCCCTGCTGGAGATGGCGGGACATGCCTGGATCCCCATTCCTATGTTCAAGATTTTCTGGGGCCCGGCGCGGTGGCGCAGTGGTTAAGGTCCTCGCCTTGCACGCCCGGGATCCCATATGGACGTCGGCTCTAATCACGGCAGCCCCACTTCCCTTCCAGCTCCCTGCCTGTGGCCCGGGAAAGCAGTCGAGGACAGCCCAAAGCTTTGGGACCCTGCACCCGCGTGGGAGGCCCGGAAGAGGCTCCTGGCTTCGGATTGGCATAGCATTGGCGCGTTGCGCTCACTTGGGGAGTGAATCATTGGACGGAAGATCTCCCTCTCTGTCTCTCTCTGTATATCTGCCTTTCCAATAAAAAGAATAATAAAAATAAATCTTTTTTAAAAAAAAAAAGATTTTCTGTAAGGATCTTAGTATCCAGGACAATAAAAACAGCCAGAATCTCAGACCTGGAGGACCAACCTCAGGATTGGGAGTGCCCACGAGATCCTCCCATTAGGAGTCAGAAGCTCACCATGCGGACCCTGTAAACCTAGCAGCTGCTGTGAGAAGGGGCAGAGGAGGGGCTGGCATCGTGGCTCGGCAGGTTAAGCCACTTTGGGGAACACTGACTGACATCCTGTACTGAAGCTGTAGGTCGGCTCAGCTCCCCACTCTGCTGTCTGCACCACACTCTCCCAGACCCCTTCAACATTTCTTCTGCATTTTGTCCACCACCTGTCTTAACTTGGACTCTCCTGAAAGCTGACGCAGAGACAAATGCTCCGTGGACGTGGTATATTTGGAAAATGATCCCAGGGTGCAGGCGTGAGGCATGGGGGGCGGGGAGGTGTGCTGTGGAACAAGGAAGGAGACACTGCGTTCCCTGCAGCAGCCGCTCTAATGGCCTCTCGTGCCCCAAGAGCACCCTGCGGAGGCTGGGGAAAGAGGGGGCTCCGACCTGGACCCCCGAGGATGAGGACGGGGGAATTTTTCTCCAACTTTTCTCTGAGTCAAGTGGTTGCATTCAGGGCCAGTGTGCTGGTGCAGCAGGTGCTTGGGGTACCAGCATCCCATCTCAGAGTGCTGGTTCAAGCCCCAGCTAGCTCTCCCAGTCCAGCTTCCTGTTAATGCCCCTGAGAGGTACAATGGTCCCTTATCACCACATTGCAGCACAGGTGCCTGGCCTCCCGCATGCAGAAGGGGTGCAACTCAGGTTCGGACACAGGACTGTCTACCTGGCCCTTGCTCCCCAATGTTATACCAATGTGGCATTTGGGGTCCAATCAACCTTCCTGGTCTCATCTGAAGACCTTTGCTTCAGATGGCAGGTCCCTGGACTGACCCCATTCATTCTTGGGTCACAAGGCTTTCCTCCTCATCTCACAGGAGACCGATGTACTAACTCTCCACATTCTTCATCCCGTTCTGTGTGCAATAACTTACTTAAAGACCATCTATTTCTCAGAGAAGGAAAGCAAAGGCCAGACTACTTTGGTTATTATGGAGCCTACTTCCTCCCAAGCCCTTTCCTTGCCTACCACTCCCTTGGGGCATGGCAAGTGCCATTGGTGCTGGCACAGCAGATGAGCCCTGGGAAGTCTTTTTTTCCCAGCAAGAAATGAGCAGAGCTAACAAAGCCACTAGGTGGCGCTGCCTGCCTGCTGTTCAGAGCCAGCACTGCACCCTCTGCAGCCGCCAGAGCCTGGGCAGGAGTGTCTGCCAAAATAGTGGACCACAAGGTGAGGGATCCTAAAATACTGTACGTGCTGATAAATAGTCGACGTGATTGGTTCTGCAGGTGAGGACAGTCGACCTGCTCTGGCCACACAGTCAGTGCCTGCCTCTGTGTGGGGGGAGTGTGCCCAGGGCCACCTGCACACCCAGGACTTCCTCCTTCTACACGCTAAACCGCACCTCAGGTGTAAACCCTTCCCAGCCCCAGCCAGTACAGCCTCAGCCCTGGGTGTCATGTGACCACCAGAGAGTGACCTTGGCCTTCAGACAGCCACAGACAGCAGGGCCCGGCTGGAGGCTGGGGAGGATGGCTGGGACTAAGGTCCCGAGATGAGAGAGTGCAGGCACCCAAGCAGGTTCTTCACCTGCAAAAGGGGGAACACCCCTGCCTGGCTGGGTCTCAATAATGAGAGATGGTGCCTGGGAAGTCCCCGGCCTGCTCTTGCACTGATTTGTCTCTGGGTCATCAGTTCCCTGCACTGGCTGCTCTGGACTCTGTGGTCTCCTGGTCCTGGGAGCTGAGATGTGGAGGATGGTACACGGCAGGTGCTCTGTAGACAGATGCCGGCAGGGGACCAAAGTGGCCTGGAAGGAACACCTTGTGCCTGTGAGACCGGGGTCCCTGGGCTGCTGCAGGCTCTTCCCCCAGAGGTCAGCCAATCAACCACTTGTCCCTTTGGCGCCCTTCATTTCTTCTTCCCCAGGGGCAGCATACTTTCCAGGTGTGATGGCATGGCTCAGGGGGTGGCCACGTCAGGTGTAGGAATGCCCTTTAGGGCCTGGCGTGATGTTCTAGAGGCTAAATCCTTGCCTTCCATCTGCAGGGCTCCCATATGGGTGCCAGCTCTTATCACTAGCTGCTCCACTTGCCTTCTAGTTCCCTGCCTGGGAAAGCAGTCGAGGACGGCCCAAAGCTTTGGGATCCTGCACCCGCGTATGAGACCCAGAAGAAGTTCCTTGATTCTGGCTTTGAATCAGCTTGGCTGCAACCATTGTGGCTACTTGGGGAGTGAATCAGCAGATAAAAGAGCTTCCTCTCTGTATCTCCTTTTGTCTGTAAATCTGCCTTTCCAATTAAAAAAAAATCTCATTTTTTATACATTTTTATTTTAAATTTTTGAATTATGTGGTACAATTTCATATAGACTGTGATCCCCCCCAAACTCCCACCCCCGACAGATTTTCTCCATTTTGCTACAGTGGCATAGTCCTTCATAAGGAATCATAATTCCATCAATCTCTTATTTAAGTGTACCCTGACATTGCTGGTATAGACAATGTCAGACAGTCCAGCATCCCATTGTCTACACATGTCCAACAGTTTCCTTGGGAATCCATCCTTCACCTGGAAGTAGGGGTGCATGTTGCATTGTACCCCCACATCTGGATATGGTAGACCCCAGTACTCCATCACTATACATTTCCATAACTGAGAAGCATGAAACAAGGTCAACAACTGATGTGAGTTAGAACAGTCACAACAACAACAACATCCACAACAAATTACAGCACCATGAAAAAACGCACCACTGACAAAAAGGAAACACAAAAGTCTCTTGGGAGAAATGATGCTACCATGTAATTCAGGAGTCAGTGATGAATTCGACAAGAGACAAGAAATTATCTGGAATAAATAAAACTGAAATTAAAAAGCAACATAACACATGGGATGCAGGGAAAAAATAGTATGGGTCAGATTAAGATCTCTTAAAAACATTTTTTTTAATGCTACCTGCCACCCTGCTAGAAAGGCTGTGCCGCCTTCACCTCCTTGCTCCTGTGTGCACCTCCAGCCACTGAAGCAAACCTGTGTGGCTTCTCTTCTCCCCAGATCCAGCAAACCCCCAAACCCCGTGAGTAGGAAGGCACACCTGCACCCAGCTGGAACGCCAAGCCTGGGCGTGAGGCGCTCTCCCAGCGGCACCCACAGCTCAGGTGCTGTGAGTGGGGCCAGCAGTGGCTCAGCCACCTCGTGGGCTTCACAGCCGCCTCCTGAAGTAGCCTTGGTTTTTGCTGGGAAACCTCGGGTGTCATGCTGTCGGAGGCTACATCACCAGACTCTGCTGGAAGCCAACTCCAACCAGGAGAGCCCAGCCAGGGCAGGAGACAGATCTCATCTTAAAAAAAAAAAATCTAGAAGCGAACTACGAAGAAGCAAGCAATTCCTGTTACCGGATGGTTAAACTTCAGCTTTAGGGGTGCCCAGGGCTTTGATGGGTTGTGGGGAGCCAGGAGCTGGTCACAGCATGGCCACAGCAGTTGGAAACTAAGATTTCTCCCGGCCGAACCCAGGGCAGGGACTGGGGCGACCCGACCCCTCCCCGCGGCTCCTCGCACAGGATGAGGGCCAGGGCCCCCCAGTGTCAGGGCGTCCGGACGGAGGGGACACCTACTTCGGCACCTTGCAGGGGGAAGGGTGGTGGTGCTGGGACTCCCACAAGCTCCAGCAGCAGCGATGGGCCGGGGAGGTGGGCGGGGTAGGCGGGCCGCTCAGCCTTCGTAGGCTCCGGTTCCCCTTCGGACTTGGGAGAAAGCGCGCAGACCCCCTCCGGGAGGAAATTAGCATTGGCTTTCTCCCCGACGGCCGCGGCAAATCGGCCTCAAAAGCCGGTGGTGCTGGAGGCCACACATCGCGCCCCTTTAGGGCTCCCTGTTCCCCTCCCCTCCCCCAGCCTAGGGAGCTCTCCTGCCAGAGGCTTTGCAGTGAGGTGGGGTGGGGAGGCGGGTTCATACCCTCTCCAAACCAGTGATCTGGAAGAAAGACCCGGCTCGGAAACTTCCCCCAAGGCTGAGGCAGGGGGAGGAAGACTGTGGCTCGCCCTAGGTCACAGACCTCTCCCAGTGCAGGCATCACCTCGGGCAGCCCTTCCCCCGTTCCACCTGCCACAGAGAACTGGGAAGGAGCCGTTCTCCTTAGGAGCCGGGTAGAGGTGCTGTGATTGACAAAACCGGGGAGCACGCAGGACAGACT